ACCTCCGACGTAGCCGACCTCAGCTATTCAATCAATATGTTTGTAAATAAATATTTGCCAAGAAAATATATTGCGATATTTTTAGCAATAGTTGTTATCCCAAATATGTTTTAACTGCGGGAATATTTTGGTTTATAAGTTATGGCCAGGAACGTGATAGGAGGGGGATAACTACCCGGGACCGGGGATTATGTACCGTATATGTTAATTGGGGAAATGAAATAAGGATATGTAATCCACAGGCCTCGAATTTTGAAAATTTTGTCGCTGGTGCTAACCGTGGTGGGTCTAGATTAAGTTTCCCTCGTGACCGACACACTTAGTCTCGCGATGGTGTTGCTTAAAGTATAAATATTATTGTAATTCAACGCGAGGAATAATATTTATTGCATACAACACACATTTTTCACCGGGACGATGAACAATCGTCTTTTTATCTTCTGTTTCTGAATTCTCAGGATGGTCCTCAACATGCGTGACATCGGTATTTACTATAATGTATGGTACCTTAATTATATATTTTTGATGCAACTAGCACCGGTCGGTTCGCTTCCTAGTTTACCACTTAGTCCTGTTCATTGGAACTGTTCACAGCCATCTATCCCGCATATATATATATATATATATATATACACACATATACATTAGCTTAATATCAATATAGTACTTACTGCTTTGCAATGTTTAATTCAGTGTTTCACTCTGAACGTGTCTCGAATCGTTTGCCTCTCACGAATCAGTTACTCGTCTGACTTTGGGACCTAATTACCGCTTCAGTCATCGATAATGAGCTATTGTACTCATACTAATACTGAAACTCTTGTACAAAACATTAGTTTTCTTTGTTTGTCGGCTACATGCATGTTCAGAGGAAGCGCAAGATACTGGCGTGCATATTTCGGCGTTATATCGGCCCTAGAACTGATATTGGCTGTTCATAGTAATCCGCAAAGTACTGAATCAATGCCCAGTTCCGATTTGCGTCATCAAATTGCAGTCTTCATGGCCTGCAAAGCTCGCAAATTTTTCAAACTGAATGCGCAGTCGTTGTTCCTCGCTACGGCTTAAGTTTACACCAAACCTCGTCTTAAATATATCTCCCGGCCTGAAATGCCTTTATTGGTGGTATATTTGAAATCAAAGAATAGAATTATAGTAACGAAAAACATTATTGGGGTTTGCATGGAGGGTGTCCCACTCCCCCCCCCCCTTTCCCCAGAGAAATTCCATTCGGGGTTTTAAATGTTATTCTTAGAGACCTTAGACACCAGACATAAAGATAAAAGGAAACGGAAATTCCTGTAAATTGTCATGAAGCGGTCAGTAAAGTTCCACTGATGCCCTCGATAAAATACTCCCGTTTGGTAGAGCTCGTATAACAAAATTTCTTCATTAAAAAATCTGCCGAAAATAGTTTGCATTGAAGCTACTTTTTCTTCATATTCTGTCCCAAAACACAATGTCTTTTCTCAAAACTTTCGTTTGGCAATCGGGCGAAATTTTGCCGGTTATTTTGTTAGTAGCTATTTTGCGTCAGACATACAGTCTGACGTAGATGCATGTGATTCAGGGAGAAACACACCTAACAAAAAGTCTGGAAAAACAAATCGATAGGTTCGTGTAGTGATGATGCATCTAGAAACCAAGATTTTATAAATTTAATAATGAAAAAAAATCCGTCATCAGTTTGAAACATACGTAGCTATGTTATCACACTTAAGAAGAAACAAAATATTACCGTGCAGCCGATAAGCTTCGATTGAAAATTAGGAAGAAGAATATAATAAGAAAAGCAGCAATTTTATTTCAATATTTTTTTTGAAGCTGTCCCCATTCATGCATGTGCGTCATTGAAGCAAACAAGAAAAACTACATTAGAGAGAAATGAGTAATATATGTACCCAAAAATATACCCCTTTGAAACTAGATATAGGCTGGGAAATTCTACAAGAAAGATAGACACATTAAGGTATGTATGATATTTACTGAACATATTTGCAAGTGTAGCAGACGGTTCAATCAACACGATGTTATTTTTACTTAAGGTCAAACGCTAGCAGGTGTTGGAAAGTGGTGAAGTCTAGATATGCTGTTTATCTCAAGATTGCAGACTGGAGGGTAAAACTGGCAGACATACTGAAAATATCATTAAACTGTGTACCCAAGACAAACTCTCAGCCTATTCTTGCAAATGATGTCGTTAATGTAGTGTTTTCGACATGCAGTTTTGGTAAGTTCAGTTTGATCACCAATTTCAAAGAGGTTTAACAATTTGAATGTGAACATTTAGATAAAAAAAAAACACATATAGAGTACTGAGTATACTGGCAAATTATGTGTTTTAATGATTCATGCATCAATATCTTGCAATCTAAATTCTTCTTTCTATATAATATTATATATAACTAATTCGTCTGAAAAGACAAATGAAACAAAAAAGTCACATTGAAGATGTGACTATAGTAACAACATACTGTTACTAGTCACATATATGTTATTTGTTGTAATAAGACACTCTTGGAAATTTGGCTAATTATTCAATGTTTGATTTCTATTTACGGACTAGTCATAGTATGTTGAGTAACTCAGTTTGTTTTTATTTGATCATAACACATACATATAGGCCTTACATTTATTGGACGTTCATGCATAGGTAGGAAATTATAATATAGCTTCATTATTTACGAAAATAATATCTATGGGACAATCGGTAAACGATCACGACACCAATGGCAATGACATAATATCGGATTTCCCTTTTCACTCATTTTTTACAAAGTTGTGCAAAATAGGTTTACTTTGGCAGCTTAATTTTCTTGCTTTCATGCCAAAACGAAGGAACGGCAAAATCGTTTGGTACGTCATCACAATAGTATGCACGAAACTTCAACACAGCCACTGACTGCGCCAGTGACATCCAGCAAGAAAAAGCAAAATTTGTTCATCATATACCAAAATAATTTTTGGAAGAAAACCAATTGTGCGTCGATGGATAACCTTTTAAGCAATTAAATAAAAAATATCACCGCGGTGGCTCTTACTGGGTCAAGCTCCAGGCTATTATTATTCGCGTCTAAGTTGCCAATAATTGTTTGGCAATTTCATGTCTGATTTCTACATTACAGTCTCTCATCATGTGTTGAAGGTAAAGAAAGGATTCTGCACTACTATAGTCAAACTTGCATGCTGTTTGCTGTTGTTAAGGTTTTTTAGTTTAAAAGAGTTACTGCATATCCATATATAGGGAAAGTTAATAATATAGATAGAGAGAATTGTTTAAAGTTAAATAACGACATTTACACTCAGCGTAATATCGTGTACTACCACTCTATAGGTTGAATAATTTGATATTTTCATATGATCAAGCAATTAAGCATTCGCGCACTAAAAGGATTACTGGGTAAGTGCCGGCAGTTATTATTCAGGGGTAAAGTCATTATGTAATATAGGGGGGGTAGAATGCTTTGCAATGGAGGGGGGGGGTCGTTATTACAATATTTATGTGAGGTTGTTGTTCACTTCAGGTAAAATTCACTTATAGATTATGAAATAAACCCATACTTCGTTTCCGTTACGAAAAATCTTCTTATGTCTGGTTTTTCTTTGGAAATCGGGTTTGGATTAGATGCCACTTGATAGAATTTACACCTCAGTGCATGCAATGTTTTGGATTCAAATGACAATGTTGCAGCCCTTTCCTTCCTAAAATTACCATTGTACTTAGAATAGTATAGATTTGGAATCCTGATGCAAAATGGAATCCCCCCCTTATTTATGATATTAAGTTTTCAGGCCTGTAAAATAATAACTACGTACAGGTCGAGTTAACTGACGCTCACATCATTTTGTGGCGCTTTGTTATAGCAAGAATAAGCTAGGCAATTGAAAATAAATGGAGAGATTATACAAAATCCTTCTTTTCCCACACCTACATTCTTATCAATTTACTTTACCATATTCTTGTCGCTGTTTACATGCTTCGTGTCACGGATCAGGTTTTTTATGCAATGTCATTTTTGCCATATTGGGAAAGTTGGAAGCACATGCAAACACAATGCCGTCTCTGTGATCGGAGACAGGGTTCATTTCCCGTTTTAATCATACTTCTTGGTAACATACCATATTTAATGGTTTTATGTAAAGGTTATGTCAGTTGGCTACACGATCACATTCATTCATCATCATAAAATTTTTGCAATCCTGAGAGATACATCTCCAATACTAATGGAGAGAGATTATCATCAAGCCTAAATCTCCTACATGGAAAGTAAATATTTGCTTGCACTGAGTTGAATATGCTAAAGTTACAAGTTATATATAGATCGAATTTACTCTTGTGAATATATTTTCTAACACCAAGACTCTTTTATATACTTTTCGTCAGAAAAGTCTCTAAATTATACCGGCATGTATTTTATATAGAAATAGCATGCGTTTTTTCTCCAATCATGATGAGCCGGCCTAGAACTCAGTCTGGTCCTTTGCCTTCATACCGGCTTTCGCACCATGTCTTCATACCGGCTTTCGCACGAGTCTTTCTTTCAGAAGTAGGGCTTTACGTAATCTATAACTAAGCTAACAAGTTAAGCTATCCCATTCAAATAAATACAACTTCATGATTAACAGTGAGAATATATATCCCAGTAAAGTTGGCCAAAATATTTCAGCTGCATGATCAATCTTTTTCTATTTCTTACAGTAAAACAAGCAACCTCGCCGGCAAGTCGATGCAAGCACGTCGTTGTTCGTTGTTGATCATGGGTCAGATATTTAATAAGTTGTGATATTCGCAAATATCATTTTGTTTATGAATAATTTCCAACATAACATGCAAGTTAATCACTCCATATTTTTTTTTATTTCGTTAGCACAGTACAGTATAGTTAAACTATCAACATTGATTTCATATGTTAATGAAAAATTATAACACCATGCATGCAGAAAACTCCTACAGTTCTCATCAGTCAGTCATCCTGTCTGGCTTCAGTGGCTTGTCCTGAAACAACACATGGTTTCAGGAGTTGAGACGTTCATAGGAAAGGTCGCTTTCATTTATGTCATGAAATATGATGAGATGTTGAAGACACATGACAACTATTCCAGACACATATTTTACCTTGACATTTTCTGCAATATACCATATGGATGCAAACAGGACATCAAATTGGTTCGTGAATATTTCGTGTATGAGAAGCATTTTCTGAGACATGAAGTTGAGGGTAATGTTAACTTTACGAAAATTTTATTAGATTCTACATTAAGAACACTCTACGATAAAACCTTACAGCATTGAGCAGTGGCAATGGTTTAAACTGTTACGAAACGGATAGCTTTTGCGGTTTTGTGTAGCAACTGAAAATCTACGAAACGTAAACATTCAGATAAGAAATAGAATGATTTGTCATCAGTTGGATTCACTATGATCCTCGCTGTATTACACTCATTTGAATAATGTATTATTGAATTGCGTACAATAAATAAATGTCGCATTTTGTACATTTTGCCGTTTATTCAAGCGTATATTTGAAAATCAGACGTATTCTGTTTCCTATATTCAGTTTATCTTATCGCATCCATTGAGGGCTGTATTAGGCAAACCTTGTAAAATCTAGCATGGATCAGAAATACGTACAACTTACATTTCATATGTTACGATACTACTGCTCTACCCGACGAAGATTCTGACTAGTATTTTTTCACAAGTTAAATGTTGAAAATGAACTTTATCCAAGGAAGGTCTGCGCATCATTGCATTCTGAAACTCTATTCACATGTACATGCATGCATGAAATGCGTGTCAAATCAATTTATAGCTTCTGTGTATCAGCAGTTGAGAGTTGATGAGAAAATTCGTTCAGTGAACTTCGATAACTTTGCTGTGCCAGTCGTGAAGAATATGGTTTATTGTACAGCAGAAACACAATTCGTAGAATAACCCATTTTGTTCCACCCGGTTTACGGTTGCATTCATTCGACCATACAACTATATAGTCATAGAAACGGCCATGCTTGTAATGAATAAAAATCTCTACATCTCTTCTAGACGGATAAATATATAGTAGCTACATGTACATAGTACGTGGTATTTCAGAATGCGCCCTAGTAGGTCGACAAAACGACTTTTTCTTTTTTTGCTCTCTGGGCAACGAAATTCTGTTGGTTGCAATAAACACTATGCATGTTTCTGTTTGCCTGAAGACAAGCGTTCTCAGTAACCATTGCTGTTTGCATGAAGCAAACCTATCACTATAGCCATTATCATCAGTGACTGCTCTATGCTTATATGTCTTATACAAGTCAGTTTATTTCAGTATGTTTCTAAGGTAAAATGTTTCTTTAAGGCCTAATGCGATTTGATTTGATTTCATTTGTAAGCGTGGTTTATACATATGGTGTGAGCAAATTGCTTGATTCTGCTGTGTACGAAGAATACTACCGAGGAGATGTGTGTGTAATGTGAGTTACATATACATAATAAATACATTCACCCAGTCTCAGCTTATTTCCGTGCGACTTCTTATCAATATTTATTTATTTCAAGTATACGAATTCCGAACAATGTTCAATGAGTATCGTAAACTATAACCGTGCATGATAGTGAGTATTTTTCATTCATGGAAATGATAATCTTGAATTTAAAGCCACATACGAACTAAATTGTGTTTGGTGATTTTTTTCATGTGCTACGTGATAAATAATGTAATATATGCATCCTTGAGGCCTGGTTTCTGAAAATGCGCACATCCTTGGTCCAATGATATAGGTCTGCCTATAATTGTTTTAATGGGTCTCGAACGTTTTCCGTACCTGGGCATGCGCCATGATCATATGAACAATCCTTCCCTTGTTGTAGTGTAGCTTTATCGTCCAACATTGTTGATTTGAAATTTGCTTTCGTTTCTGCTGTAGAATACGATGTATATAATATATTTTTATCCCGTGTGTGATTTACTCTCGGGAAAGATTTGAGGCAAGTGTATTATTGATAAATCTGATTACGCTAGCCGTCAAGGGCTTCATATGTCTGTATTCTCTCCCCCCGGAACAAATAGCGGCTTTTAACAGATTTGACATTTTAGCCTCTTGTTGCTGGAAACGGAGCTTTCGCGAGTCAATATTTGCCAATGCATGCTTGACGTCGGTTGGGCTGTATGGTAGCTCAGTCCAGTATGCAAGTGTTTTTGAAAACCATTAATGTGCGAGAAAGGTTAAAATTCGAAGATATTACTAAGCTATTTTATAAACAATGTATGTGATTCAATTTTCGTCTGAAGTCATTCCATTTTGATGAATTTGCAAGGATTTGACGTGGACAAATATAAACAAAGGCCAGCCGTTTAAGGATATCAAAACACACACACGGCTTAAAATTTGGAGTCTGAACGTGTTAAAAGGCATTGCAGGAAAAGTATATTTTTACCGCTATTTTTCAAACGGATTTCCTTCGTCCAAATATAAACTAAGGCTAAGTACTACATTCCTTTTCTCACGTTTTAAAGTGTTTCTTCCGAAAGGTGAAAAAAACAACATCCCAGAGGGTAAATCTTAGCCATAGTGTGATTAAAAAAAGTACTCAATGAAAAAAAGAAAAGATTTAAACAATTGTCTATTATAAACATATGTATGATAGATACAGCTCGAAGTTTATGGTAAAATCTCAACTTGGTGACAAAAATATAAATATTTATTGCCTCATGCCAGAGTAAGGTTATATATAGTTTGTACGCATGCAAAATAAAGCAGATGGTTTTGAAATAATGTCACATATTGAATAAACACACGCAAATTTTGATTGCTTGTTCGTTGGCAAACATCGTGCTAGAAATGTCAGCTTTCATCTTTGCCGACAATTTTTTTCACCTGCAACAAACTTAATCCACAAGGACCTGGGAACGAGTTGATGTTTATATTCTTAGATTCTGAAAATGAAATTTCTAACTAAAGTTAGATAAGTAACTACAGAAACACTCTGAGGAAAATCAATTTGTATCATTCGTTGCCATGAGAATTATTTCAAAGGCTTTGTCGAGTTTAAATGTTTAACAATATATCTAGTTTAGAATACTGCAAGTAGTGCAAGTGTACATATTTTGTACTTTAATTAAACAAGATTTTCGAGATGACATCTTCCAGTTTAGCTGTTCCCCGAATGTCGTACCCAGGATAATTTTGCTGTGTTATAGGGCTGTTCCCTGTTCTGTGGTTCACTGATAAGTCACTAGGAGTTTTATCTTTGTTATTCTTGGATGTAAAAGTGCCGGGGCATATTAGCTAGTTTATTCAACAACTGAGTAACAAGTTCTGTAATCCTATTAAATTCGAGAGAAATTCGACGGTAAATATTTAGTTATAGACTCTGCGAGTTTGTTTCAAATTTCAAATTTAATAAACCACACTTATTCGGTGAAGTTACTCCGGCTTTTCAATTACTAATTTAATTAAATTGAGTGAAACAAAGTAAAAAAGAAATTATCAGGTAAAACAGTCAATTGGATGTTACTGTCTTTAATTGGTAATGAAGTCATTCGAAGAGTATCATTGATGTCACAAGTAATGCTTAGTGTATTACTAACTGAAGTTGAAAAGTGTAATAATATACATGAATGCCTACGTACTTTGGTACTCACCAAATTTTGAACTGTGCAAGGGACTGCAGCTGAAAACATCAGACATCATCTTTTCTTAATTCTCCTTGAGGCACGGTGAAGTGAACTTTTTCTAATTCTTGTCAATTGTGTATTTCACTTTCATTAAAACCTATGTAATATTTACCGTGAGTCAACATTCGAACTGGTTCTCTACTGTAATTTTATTATTAAACCTTTAAATTTTTGTCAACAATGGGGAAAGGTTTGTATGATTATGAACCCGCTAGAACAATAGGTCTCTCAAGTTTGTAAATCAAATTCTTGCCGAGGACAGTTCAGGATGTGCCTGCTTCAAGCTTCGTCGTTTGAAAAGTGAAATTGAGTTATTGAAATAAACATGACTGAAGAAATCATATTTTCCCAATCCTAGAAAAATCTTTACTTGTATTTCAGTTAAATAAACCGAATCTTAATTTTCTCCGCCACAACGTATGCTTTCAGAAGCCTGTCGTGTTGTAATGATTGGCATCACGTTATAGTCTAGGGCCGGTTTTGGTTGTATAGTTATCTTTTTTACTATATTTGGAGACAGAATTAGCCAATCAGAATCGTTTAACATGCGATTTAACTATGCAAAATGTAGTCGAGAGTTTTACAAGGACCCCCACGGATTGTTGTGACGACGGCTGAGCTTCGGAAAATGATTGACCGCGTGGGAGAATGGGACTCGTGCTTTTGTTGTGTTTTGTTTCGCGGTGAGGTATTTTATATTATACTAATACCTTTGTTGTTCCACTATAGCAACAGGGCTGAAATTACTCAAATATTCCCCGTAAGTAGTAACTACAACAAGTGCTCCTTAATTAATTGTACTAGACAGTGACGTCAGAGTTGTGCGCCTCTTTCTGGCGTCCCCGTGGTCACAAGTCAAAAAGCAAGGTACAGTTTGCAGACGGAAGTTTTAAGGCAAATTTCCAGTAAAAGCTATATAATCAAAAGAAATCCGTCGGGCAGAATGAATATTCACCTCCCCCCAATTATCGTTCTAGTTACGCCACTGGAAATAACATCAGCATATTGAAATTTTATCGGATGAATTGGTTAGATTTCATTAGCAGGGAGGCAGATACACTATGAGACATTGGCCATGAAAACGAAAATCTAGGATTAAATAATATTACCGGGGATAAACACAAAATCATATTCTTCTCGAAATAGAACTGGGACAAATAGAATTACATATACGGTATACGGTATTATAAATACTGGCAATTAAACGCCTCAACCCCCGCCTATAATATCGCTGACCTATTGTTTTGTTATGCAAATATCAATTAAAATAGCAAGTTACAAATTTATTTTAAACTTATTTTATCCCACATTATAGTTTCATTATGGTGGCATTAAATATATTTTATAATACATTACAATTTATGATACCTTCGATATGTGTTGACGTCTTCGCAAAGTATTAACAGTGATGTAAAATATAATTCCGATTTCAAACATCGATTTTTCTTTATACCATTTCCAATAATAAGCTTCGATGATTTTAGAGGAAATTTCCTGTATGGGAAGCAGCTTGTGGCGAGAAACAATCTTTGAATAATGAACTGGTTACTCAGTAGGTGGTTCCACGTCATTGGCTGTTGCTTTTGTCTGAGGTTCTATTAAATAATAACTATTCATTCGTTTTGGGGAGGGGAATTTCCTTAGTGAAGTTTTGTAGAGAAAAGAATAGTTAAAATATAAAAGTATTGAAGACTGACGGTCACTTATTTCTAATGAAATTCGATACCACGTTCATTTCTTCGAAATATTGCATAAAGTCAGAGGCATAAAGTTTATTTTGTAGCAATGTACGTAAGTTCAGTACCGTCCTAAATGATTTTTGACTCGAATCTCGAAATAAGAATCCAATAGTCTGTCCCGATTATTTTGCGAGAAAGACGCGCCCGGGGCACTCGAGATTTACCTTCAATCATAATGGTTTAAAACGATCTATATAATTCTTTACAGGTGGCCAATCTTGAAACAACTGGTTCAAATGTGTACAATTGTACGGTTTACATGAAGTATTTCACTGGCAAAAACCAATATGGCGGTTGCAAAGTCAATACTTTCCGTCGATTCTGTTTGGACGAATCTGACCAGTCTCCTTGATCCAAATGTACCGAACAGGCAAGGTAAACAGCCAAAGATGAGTTTGTTGGTACTGTACTGAATGCTGATGGGATGGGTAAAGTGACTCCTAGAGAGTAGCGACTGTCTAGCGACTTGCATATACTCCATATGGTTGTAAGTTGTTATCTAATATCTAGTATGTAGTATGTACCATAAATAAAAGTGTTTTCTTATTTTAGGTTTAAAAGAAATATCGAGAGATTTTAATGAAATCTGTGGTGGTTCTACTGATTTAGAATTGTTTATGTTACACGAGCTAAAAGAATGGTTCTTAGGTATGAAATAATCTGGGATTATTTATAGCTAGACTACCTTCTTTTTATGGCAGGCAAACTGTTGTCTTAAATGTTGATTCAAATTTTAGAACAGTTTGGAAAGGAAATGAGGACGAATTTAGCCCCACAATTTTGGAGTTTTCATAAGGTACCACCAAATATCTCATAAAATTATCATGAAATTTTTTGTACCTGAATTTCAGAAGTAATTATCTCAATTTTCTTATACCCTTGCTTATTTTAGACATTAGGTAAAAATTTTCTCTATAAACTGTTATAATTAGCTGTTGCTTTATCATATTACAGGATGTTGTGACCATTGACAACTTGATATCCAGTGTGCAAAGTTTGCATCAACAGGTTGGCTGCTTTCTGGACTCAATGACTAACCTTCAAAAACTTGCAGAAAAGTCCGATATTTTAAGGTACCGGTATTTTAAACAGTATAATTCATTGCCACAAATGATAATGTACATGTAGTTCAATCTATTTAATAATTTTTTTAAATTCAAATTAATACTACAGTACATTAACTTTTTATTATACTGAGACTGAAATTATTTCTTGTGAACAGAGATTTAAAAGAAAATATTCATGCAATCATCAGAGTAGTGGTATTCTCCAATCCACCTGAAAATTTCAAGTCTGCTGTTAAAGGCTTTTTCTCCAAAGCATTCAAAGCACACCAGACCTTGAGTAAAAATATTGAACAAACATTGGAGGAAGGTAGCTATAACCATTAAATATTTATGTTTCTATCAAATTTGGGTACTATACAGAGGGAGTGACTGGCAAAAATAATTTGTCAAAACCTGTACCCTCTTGTTTGAGAGGTCGGTTCGTACTGGTTGCAGGGAGTTTATTTTCTCCCTTGTCACCCACACTTGCCCAAGCAAGTTTGACTGTGCTGACTCGACTTGAGCAAGTACAACTTTCTTCCCTCTTCGCCACACTTGTCTGAGCAAGTTCTACCTTCTTCCTCTTCAGCTACAGTGAACACTAGTCCGAGCAAGTTCTCCCTCTTCATGCAGTTGCACTTGTTTGAACGCGCTCTACTTTTTCCCTCTTCAGCTGCACTTGTCTGAGCAAGTTCTAAGAGTTCTTAACAAGTTCTAAAATTTTCAATTCTTCACTAATAACCATGGTCTACTGTAAGAGTTTATGTTTGCATACTAGGTGCAACCATGCAGTGATGTAATTCAATAGAAATTTTCATGTATGATATATTTAAACCTAATATACCTTCATGTAGATGTTAACATAGATATTGTGTACTTGGTAGAAAATGAGGAAGATGAAGATGGATGTTGTGAAGGGTGTAATTGTGTTAAGAACAGATGTGACTGTAAGCAATTCTTGGAAAAATTCTGTTCTTGGAGTTCAATGTTGCATTCATTGGGAGTTTTAAAGGAAGTTGGCAGTGATGCTTTTGTTTCTGTTATTCACACAGAGGTACACATGCATTAGTATTACCTTAGAGATACATTTGAAACCTTTTTTACCTTAGCAATTAAAGCAATGATTTATGTGTGTGCTCACAATGCTGATTCAAACATGGAATTAAGGCTATTGAAATAAAACTGAATGAATGGCCTCATTCCTTATCCATTTGGACAAATACTTTTTCTTACTTGTCATGTAGGTTAAAACAAAAATTGAGAAGACATGTAAGGGAGAATATGATCAGACATTTTTACCTTCATTGATGGAATGGCTGAATGATGTTGTTTTAGACTGGATGAAATTGATATTACCCCCAGCAAGTACGTTGTGATTGTGTTCATTTGCAATACAAGGACTGTGTGAGAGCGTGAAAGCTCTTTAACCTTGTTGTTTTAGGTTCTGATGTACATGACTTTGATGTGACTATTGTTGAATCATGGACACCTAGACTTGAATATTTCATGTATAAAACTTATGCTGAACTCAGGTTAGTAAACAAACCAACCTAACAATTGGTAACTGGATCCAAAACGAAGGCCCAGATTTTTTGGAGAAATAACCTTATCTACATTATTTTCATAGAATTGAAGAGCTTTTTGGAATCATAGTGGACTACCCTGATTCCCTGAAAGCGTTGGAAGATCTTAAGGTTATTTTCTCTTGCACATTTTTAACATCGTTATTTTTCGTATTTATATTCCATTATTTAATTTCCTGTTCATAGGAATGTTTAGAAAAAACAGACTTACGCAGTCATCTTATAACTTGTCTTCGTTCGTCGTAAGTGCTGATTATAATTATCAGGATGAGGGTTTATCGGGAAGATCGTCCTAGAATGCGCAAGAGTAGAAAAATCTTTTTGAAGTTTTCTGACTCCTTTTTTCAACGAAAAATAATGCTAAAAGTGATTTCGATTAAAAATCGCGTGGCGAGTAACTAAATGACTAGTTTTCAAAATATCACATGTAGCCTCAGTGCTACATTGATTGAAAATCACTTTTAGCATTATTTCTCGCAAAAAAAAAGAAGTTAGAATGCTTCAAAAAGATCTCAGCGTTTCTCTGGCGTCTTCGGACACTACCGGAAACTTCGGTTAGGCTCATGTTTGCCCGTATCTTCGACGACAATTCACGATGATGATTTTTTAATATATATCCTTCAAGGTTTCAAACTCGACTTCTTCACCCAGGAGCTGAGACAACGGATATTTTAACGCAATATGTGTCTTCAATACGAGCGTTAAGAGTTCTGGATAATTCTGGGGTAATACTGGAGAATGTTTGTGAGCCAATAAAAGCTTATTTACGGTAAGCTGAAACTATACGAGTGTTCTCCAGCAAACAAGCAAACAAACAGGCGGACAGACAAAAAAGTATTACAATTACAGCAGAAGATATTATCCTAGAATATAGGCCGTCCACTGGGCCAGTCATGTCAATGGCATTGCTGTCAAACTCAGCTGTCGTAGAGTTTCATCAGAGTAAACAAACGACAGATGTGCTAGTTCGTGCAGCTGTTTTAGAACCTTTCCTTTGTACTTTGCGTCACTGTTATTTGAACTCATTCGTGAGCCGCCCTCAACGATCTTTGATTTATGTACAGATCTGTGAAAAACTTGACTATTATAACGCGAGAGAACTACAAAATTGGTTACGAAGGAAACATATGTTTTATATTTTTTTTATTAATATTTGTTCTTACGTAGAACCAGGGACGACACTGTTCGTTGTATCGTAACAAGTTTAACGGATGAAAACAGTTCAGAATTATCTGAGGTAAATGCTTGCAACCTTCCCAAGGTATTCAAAGTCGTCGCCTTCCGATGGAAATACATGAGCATTTACTGTTATAACCCCAATGATAGGAACTATTACAAGGCGATAGTAAAACAATAGAAGATGTACATCCGCTGGACAGTGATAACGAAGACGACGGAGAGGAATGGACCCCTGATCCTATTGATGCTGATCCATGTTAGTATGCTTAAGCCCGTTTTACACTGGGCGAATCAGTTTATTCGCGCGACGCGAAGCGATATCTGAAATCCGGTGATGTGATTGGTTCGCGAAAAAGTAGAATCACTTCCTACTCTTTATCTGTTCGCGCGAATAAATTCGCCTAATGGAAAACGGTTTAAAATCCTTTTTTTTACTTGATGAGTGGTTACTGAGAACGGCTGATGTATTTCTAGTAGATATACGCGGATATCTTTTCATTTTTAGCTAAGCCGTCAAGAAGCAGAAAATCTTCAGATATTATTAGGTAATGCCATAGAATTCACGATTTTCATGCAGTTCACGCAGTAGAGATTGTTAATATGGGTGGGTTTGTCAGTGAATAATATTTGCTCTCTTTCCTCATGTTAGTTTTGGCTGATATTTTTAAGTTGAATATGCCATTGGTTATTATTTATCATAATGTGTTTTAAATGATACTTTTTTAGTATGTTAGTTAATATTTATGGCAGTCGAGATCTGTTCGTCTCAGAATATCGCACTCTACTGGCTGACCGTATTCTTTCGTCCTTCAATTATGATATTGCTAAGGAGGTAAGCCTCTGTAGTTTGTTTTAAGGCCCTCGTAAGGTTTGTTTTTGCTGCCATTATTGGTGAAATTTCCCTCTCTTTATAGATGCAAACGATAGAATAGTTATGAAGGCCTAGCGATTATTGCACTGTTACTAAAATAATCTTAATTTAAATTGACTACAGTAACTGACTAATGCTAACTTTGCCATTAATCAGATATAGCTACAATACTGATAATGATTTTGTCTGTATGTGCTTATATTGCTTACATACAAGTGCTTATATCTTTCGTTCTAGCTTCGTTATTTGGAACTTCTGAAGCTGCGTTTTGGTGAATCGCATCTTCAGTTTTGTGAAGTCATGTTAAAAGATGTTGCTGACTCAAGAAGAATTAACACTAACATTCATTCAAAAATTGAAACATCAGAACACAAGGTAATCAGCAGGACATATATAAGATTTTATATTAGGACAATATCAGACTTTCTGATACTTTCGGACATCAAAAGTCTGGTTTATACATTACCGGAGGGAAGGGTCTATCGGAACACCAATTTTGTTTATCGTGATGCTCAGTATTGATTCACACAAGCCTTTGCCATGCACCTGCAATGCACCCAGTTGTTTAGTTACCAGTCATTTTCTCTGAGTAACAACAAGTCCAATATTTGATCTGGTAAGAATACTCATCAGTCAAATCCCCATCAGTCAAATTTACGGATTTAACTGGCAAGTATAGTGGAAAATTTAATTTCCCCGGAATAGTCGTTACTTTATTTGCTTTTACCTGTAATAAGTAATTTCTTGCAAAAATTTAAGTCGAGTCAGTCATTTATTAAGTCATCGGAAGTTTCCTGCAACGTAGGTATACGACTTGAGCTGAGCTGTAGTTGACAAAATATCATTCATTGCTTTGTATCCCATGAACAGCTAAAGCATTTCTTCCAACATATATTTCACATTTTCAGCCTGAAATTGAAGTCCATGGCATGATTTTATCCAACGTTTTCTGGCCAACATTTAGAGAGGAGAAGCTGGAACTTCCTGAGCAAGTAAAAAGGTTGAAATTCTTTCTGTTTTAGTCTAGTGTCTAATATTGATTGCAAAAACCAAGACTGGATCAGCACTATACGTTCCACATTTTTTAGCCTAACGACACTATCGTAATATAAACGAATGTAGTCAGGAAATCTGTTGAAAAATATTTCATCTGTTAATTGCTAACATGTTGGTAAAATCTTGAATACCGTCCTAAATCAAAGTGAAACACAACTATAGTTAAAATACATCAAGATATTTTTTCTATTACCGAATATATAAATATTACCACGCCCCTTTGCATAACTCCATATCGCAGAGAAAGAGCTGGTTTTTTAAAGGGAATTCAGTGTGTAACTGATTTTTCTATTTTTAGTTCCATGGAGAACTACACAGAGCAATTCAAATCGTTAAAAGGTTCACGTACGTTGCAGTGGAAACCTCATTTAGGTTTGGTTGAGCTGGAAATTGAACTTGAAGACCGAACATTGTCATTTACTGTGACACCAGCACGAGCTTCGACTATAATGTATTTTCAACAGAAACGTAAGTTGAGGAAAATGCATGGATTCCTGCAATTTGTGGTAGCGCACTCCATGAGAGAGGAGAATTGATTAATACTAATTTATCTATGGAGAAGATAAACTTTGATATACAATGGATGAATATAAAATAATATAATAGACCGTTCACTGAGAACTTCAAACGGCAAATTTTGAATTGCATTTGGGAATAAATCCTATACTGGTAATCAATAGCTTAGTTGATATTTTATGCTTTAATTTTTTTTCGTCGACAAATTGTCCAACTTGAGCTGATATAATTAACTGAGGGATAGGTTTTTATATTTTCCACGGTTTACCATTGCGAAATGAGTTTAGATACGTGCAAGTTAACTTTACAAAATCTCAATTCAATTCTACGTCTAATCTTGTGTCATTTAGCTCGCTGGAGTTTGGAAGATCTTAGCAGTCAAATGCACATGTCAACCAGTATGTTGAGGCGTTGCCTTGGTTACTGGCTTGGTCAGGGTGTGTTGAAGGAAGAATGTCAGGATGTGTATGTTGTTTTGGAGAAGAATCGAGGTGGACAGAATGTACAAGGTTGTTAACCCTATCTTATGATATAGCTACTACCCTTAATGAGTTTTTATGCGATCTGATTGAATTTCACTGTATTGCTCAAATACGGTGAGTTGTCAAAACAGCCATTTGAATTTGTGATGAAAATTTAATGAAAATTTGCATGTTTTTGTCATTACAAAGTTCTGGATTTATTATAAAACAATTCTACCATTTTGTCATATTTGTCTGATAGCTACTGTACATAACTCAATATGACTCGAGCAGTCGAGCTCATAGTGTATTTATTTCATTGTTACATATATTCCTTCCCGGCGTTTTTGTATTGACTAGAATCTTTTACATTTGTAGATATCGTTTTCGAAGCTGAAGGTGAATCAGCCATGGCAACTTCACAAGATCAACGTGAAGGAGAACTGCAGGTTGGTGGTTCGTCCCGTTGCGCGAACGATTGCAATCAATCATTTGGAGAGGGGGGCCGAGGCGGAGAAATGTTCTTTTCACCTGAACTTCAAAAAAAATCAGTTCAAAATGTGTGTGGTATCAATTCCATTGGATCAAGATTGAGTTAATGGATAAACTTAAAACCATACAACTCGTTTTTTTAAGTTAATCTAAGTTATCTTTTTTCAGATTTTCTGGTCGTATATAGTTGGAATGCTGACAAATCTGGAAAGTTTACCTCTGGAAAGAATTCACTCAATGTTACGAATGTTTGCTATGAGCGGCCCTAATACCAGTCAATGTAATGTTGATGATTTGAAACGCTTTTTGGAGAAAAAAGTTCGCGATGGAGAACTGCAATATGTCGGTGGCAAATATAAGTTACCAAAACCTGGAAGATGAGTCGCATTTAGTATATGTTTATGTGCAAACACTTTTTCTGTTGTCACAATAGTGTTAATATGCAAAATAGTGCATTTCCTTCCCCTGTAGGATCGCGTTACTGCTGAGATTGTGTATATATGTAAATATATCGTTAGAAAGTGTACTCGTGTATAACCATGGATAGTTAAAAGACTTTATTTTAAGACGTGATTTTATTATCCATGGTATAACTATTATTATTTACGCCTGGGTGGGGCAAGTGGGTGGTGTAGGAAGTATTAAATGTGGGTGGGGCAATAGGTGATATCAACGTAACAATAGTCGTCAACGTTTACCATAGTTTCGTGAGATTAGTAATACAATTAATTCGAAAATTTAACCGGTTGAAAGGAAACCAGACGAAATTCGAGCACGGTCTCAAATTCGTAACCTAGGACTGCTTAATAGACTTTCCATAAATTACAAGCCGTGTCACAAGTTACGCGAAAACGAGACTAGTCGGGTTTTCTGCAGTGGTTTTCTGCTGCAAAATTTCAAACTCATTTGTATGTTTCCAGTGCATCACGGGATACTTAGATAAAAAGTCATGACCTGATCACATGATTTCGCATGATAAACTCTTGCAATAAAAATGGCTTCCGTGTGGTGGAATTTCGCTCTTCTATTTGCCATAATCTTACTGTTCTTTACTCAACCCGTGGCTGCTTTTGATGCTGGGGATGCTATTGCGTTAATACTTGGTTTAATTATCGGAATTATGGGTATTTGTGCGTGTTTGGGAGCTTACGCAAGAAGGAAAGAAGGGGTATGATTGAATCCGAGATCCGATCTGTCACGACTCAAGACAAGCATAATTTATAAATACAGAAACTAATATAGTTGATTTGATAAGATTTCTTCAGAGTGAGTGCAATGGTATTAACAAATTATGAAGAAACTGAAGCATTGTGAATTTGAAACACTGGTGTCATGGTATTTTATTTCGGAACGTTTTGCAACAGTATGAAAAGAATTACACAGAATAGTACTTTGTACTGACATATATGTGACTAAATACTTTTGGTTCTTTCCTGGATTCCTTATTGGAAGTATTCTGCAAAACCAAAAATGTCAAAATTTTATGGATGATATAATACACTCAGATGAATATTAGTCAAATTTTGTTTACACATTATTTTCACAGCATCTTTGATTGGTGCTAAAAATGTCCATGCCAAGTCAGCCTATTATGTAGTCATTAAAGCCAGAGCCAGAGCCTTAGTAAATATACACAAAGTTTATTGTAGTATCAATCCTAGATTAGTGTTTTAATACGCATTTGCGGAAATTTAGTTGAGCAGGAGGTGGCGTGGGAGAGCAAACATTTCTGATTTCCCACAAACCTTTCTAAATTTCAAAGTGATCCCAATCTTTTCTGATAGTTTTAGTATTTTAACTTCATATTTAACCAGGATACCCATGTCACCGAAGTGTTTTTCAGTGGGGTCCTGCATCTATATATTACATCATTTCAAAAGTAAACATGCATTATTTACAGCAACACATATATACAATACAATACTGAACGATACCATCCCATACTATGCCAAACAATACAATTCTGTAACAACGCAATACAATATAATACATTACTATATGATGCAATACAATGAGGAAATTGAAATATGATGTGGAAGAAAGATATTGAGTAGAAAATGGTACAGTGGAAAGGAATGAAGAAGGAAAGTCTATAGCCAAATTGTATATTCGATTACCGTATTGCAAATATTTTTTGCCACCAGATTTCCCTCATGAATGTTTTTCCCTTTGTTTTTCCCTTTGATCTCAAATCTTGGGTTAAAAAAGTGAGCATAGGGAGAAGTATTAAAAGAGTGCAGCTACAAACAAACACAACCAATGGTTTATAATGAGGAAGAAGATTTTTAAAATATGAAGCCTCTTCCTTTTAATACCCTGACCAAAATTTCGGTAATAATTCCATGTTCAGTATACACCAATATACATGCGACACCCTTTTTTAAACATCTATTGTATCATATCATATCATTAAGCATCATACTATATCACACCGTATCATACTGCATCGTATAGTATCGTACTATATCATACCGTATCACACCGTGTCACACTGTATCATATTGCATCATACTATATCATACTGTATCAAATTGTATCATAGTGCATCATATTATATCATACTGTATCATATTGTATCATATAGCATCATATTATATCATATCGTATAATATAGCATCATATAGCATCATACTATATCATACTGTATCATATCGTATCATATAGCATAATATTATATCATACTGTATCATATCGTATCATATAGCATCATATTATATCATATCGTATAATATAGCATCATATAGTATCATACAATATCATACTGTATCATATCGTATCATATTGCATCATAAAGTATCGTACCGTATCATATCGTATCATATAGCATCATACTATATCATACTGTATCATATTGTATCATATAGCATCATATTATATCATATCGTATAATATAGCATCATATAGTATCATACAATATCATACCGTATCATACTGTATCATATAGCATCATATTATATCATATCGTATAATATAGCATCATATAGTATCATACAATATCATACCGTATCATACTGTATCATATAGCATCATACTATATCATACTGTATCATATTGTATCATATAGCATCATATTATATCATATCGTATAATATAGCATCATATAGTATCATACAATATCATACCGTATCATACTATATCATACAGTATCACACCGTATCATATTGCATCATAAAGTATCGTACCGTATCATACCGTATCATACCGTATCATACTGTATCATATAGCATCATACCATATCATACTGTATCATATCGTATCATATAGCATCATATTATATCATACTGTATCATATCGTATCATATAGCATCATATTATATCATACTGTATCATATCGTATCATATAGCATCATATTATATCATACTGTATCATATCGTATCATATAGCATCATATTATATCATATCGTATAAAATAGCATCATATAGTATCATACAATATCATACCGTATCATACTGTATCATATAGCATCATACTATATCATACTGTATCATATCGTATCATATAGCATCATATTATATCATATCGTATAATATATAGCATCATATAGTATCATACAATATCATACCGCATCATACTGTATCATATAGCATCATACTATATCATACTGTATCATATCGTATCATATAGCATCATATAGCATCATACCATATCATACCCTGTCATACCATATCATGTTGCATCATATAGTATTGTACTATATCATATCGTATCACACCGCATCATACTGTATCATATAGTATCATATTATATCATATCGCATAATGTAGCGTCATATAGTATCATTCTATATCATACCCTATCATACCGTATAATACTGTATCACATAATGGAAACTTAACGGAAACTTTAACTTTTCTTATTTACATATACTCATGCAATTATAAATCTCGCTTAATAAGGTACTACATGAATCACAATTAAATAATATGTTTATATATATAATAACAACTCTAAATGACTATAACGTAAGTAAAGCATGGAAATTTTTGTACAAATTGTTTCAAAAAGAGGACGTCTAGCCTGAGCACCCGGCTTTATTTTTCGCATTGACGTCAAGCCACAATGTTATGACCATTTTTCCAGTTTGAGTAACATTCGCAGAATACAATTATTGGGGGAAAGAGGGGGAAATAAGTAATACTGGGCAGGGACAGTAAAGAACCTGGAGAAAATTTTCCTTTTTGTTCATTGTAACGCCCTTGCATCGGTCCCTTGGCTTCCTTTGGTGTTTTCCCGTTCGGAAAAAAATAGACCATTTACATTATTTACGCAGTTGTAATCAACCGAGTTTAAGTAACACACAACGTGGTCTAGGTTCAATTCCCTAATTACGTTTTACACTTGGTATTCGGTATAATATCCTTCTATAGGGCGTGTATGCTTCCTTTAATTATCTGGACCGCTATATTTATGCTCGACCGCTATATTTATATATTAATCTCGGAAGCACTTGCAATGGTGGATCCGCGGCAACTTACTTTTCCTTATTCTATTAATGTCAGTCTATAGTCATATTTTTCCATCATCCGATATCTGTTACACCATCCTCCTCCTTATGCTCTCATCTTGAGGACATGCTTTCAATCAAATCCGTACCTTAGTGACGGATTAATGTTTTGTCTAAATCTGCAGCTCGAGCACGAGGAAATCCGTCAATTTCTACTATTTATCCGTCAATTCCGTTTGTAGTGCAAACCAGTTTGCCCACTTTAACTGGTCGTGGTCATCACCTTCGATAAGACCCTCCCTTTGAAACAAAACGATAGTCTGCCCCAGCCCGTTTTAGGATTCTATAAGGCCCCACCGATCTATGTCTGAACTTCCAACCTTTCGGTCTTTTCGACATGATTGTTTCGCCCGATTCGAAAGGCCGCCAAGTAGTTGTCGTTTGATTGAGCTTTTTTCCGATACTTTTGATGTGATTCTCTGGCATGCGTGTAATATGAAATGCTGACCTAACTGACTGTAAATATTCGCTCTGGGTGGATGGTGCTGTTAGCGGCATGCCTAAATTCAATTCAACTGGCAGCCTAGTGTGTCGTGTCTACTAGTATAGTAAGTGAACGTGACTGAATCTAGCCACAAGTCCCAATCATCTCGCCTATTAGAAACAAAGGATAGCCTGAATTGTGCGATCTTGGCGCTTACACTGAGGACGGTAGCTAGTAGTGCGCGTTTTCGTAGTACCCATAAAATCATATACTTCATGCATTAGCGTGCTCTCAAAATTTATGCCTTGGCCTGAATGCGACAGCTGGGGGGAGGGGACAAAACTGACTAGGATTGACAAAACTGTCCTGGCTTTTCCGGCGTAGCAAACGTTGCCCTGCACAGTATCAGTTCTCATCTGATTTGTCAAACGTGTTACAACAACTAAGAGGCGTAACTTTTAGTTCTCGCGCCGTTACGCCTTTATGTAGGTATTTGACAGGTGCATGGTGATAATATAAACCCATGTGCTCTTGCCTTTTCGGCATTACGCCTGCGTGTATTGGAGCACAGTGATCGATCGAAGTTAGACTGTTATAGAGTGCTATG